GGAAGGATCCGCAGTAAACATCTGTTTAAGGATGAGAGGAAGAATAATACTTCTGTTGGAAGAGCAAAGCTGGAAGGGACCCTCTCAACCATCGCGGGTCCAGCGGTTCTAACCCCGGTAGCTCTCAGCAAAGCTGGAAGGGACCCTCTGAATCATCGCCTGTCTGGCGGTTCTAACCCCCGGTAGCTCTCCGGTCTGGGGAGATCCCCACACAGACACCCCCCAGAAAACCTGGCTTTCCCAACCGGAGGTCTTCCAGATGTGGGAGACTACGGCTTCCATCGTCCTCATCCAGTATCAGCCATGATGGTTCCTCATGTCTGGAAGCCTCAGGTGGGAAGAGCCTGGAGTCCCAGGTAAAGCAGGCTGGTGTCCTCTGTTGTTGTCCTGTGCGACTCTCTCAGCCCGGGGGCTTCCATCTCTCTCTTCCTTCCCCCCCCCCTCATGAAATAAATAGGAGGCAAGCAGGGAAGGCGTTGGCAGGAGACCTGTTGGATCCGTCAGCTTCCCACCTAGCTCCACATCCACGTTCTCGCAGTGGGCAGGCGGGGGGGCCTCCCGGGATGTTCAGAAGCACAACCGAGCCTCTTGCCTTTTGTCCTCGACTCTAGCTGCGTTTCACAGATAGCCTGCCTCTCCCCTTGGAGGCTCCACCGAATCCTTGTCACAATGACATCCTTCAAAAAATTTTCCCCAGAGCTTCCTCTAAAGAGTTTGCTGGTGGATTTGGATGGTGTCCTGTGTCCGTGGATGGGTGTAGACAAATTGTGTGTGTGTGTGTGTGTTCCCCCCTCCCCCCACTCAAGTCTTCTGCTTGGTGTACGAGGATGCTTGAGGTTTGCCCAAGCTGGATCCCACCTTGTGGGTTCCAAGCGGTGTTGAACCACCGAAGGGCTGAACCCCAACAGCGGGCCTTGGGCACCCCTCTGAGACCAGACAGCAAAAGAACACAATCCGTGTTGTGGGGGGGGGCTGTGCCATGAAAATCCACAGCCTGCCCTCCTCTCCCTACGGCCCGGCCGTCTGTCTCCAGGGTCTCCCAGGGAGGGGCCCGTTCTGGAGTTGTTCCTGTTCGGGTTTTCTTCAAGGACGGCTGGCTTCCCCTCATCCTGGCAGCCTTTCCCCTGCGCATGGCGTGAAGTGAGTCCTCTCTCTCTCTCTCTCTCTCAAGCGCTTGTGGGGGGGGTCTCCCTAGTGGGAGGGGGCAGGGAGGGGATGCATAGAAAGCAACGAAGCCTCACTTTGGTGGGGGGGCAGTTTAAGGAGGCTGAGAAACTGCAGAAGAAGCAGGAATGTGGGGAGAAAGAGGCTGGCGGGGGGGCAGTTGCATCTCAGATTTCAGACAGCACCCATGTCCACAAAAACAGACAAAAGGCGTTGGGTTTTCCGTGTTCCTGCCAGCATGTCCTTACACTGGTGCCCGTAAAGGCGGGCCTGGAACGTAGGAAGCAGATCTTTCCAGCTCCCTTTTTTTGGGGGGGGGGATCCAGGATGACCAGGCGGTGGAGTGTGCGGCTTCGTTCTTCCCCAGGAAGTCGGAGAAACGCCGTCTCCCCGCCTGCTCTCTCCACCGGAGCTTGGCCGCGTTCATTTCCCGGGGCATCCGCTCCCCGAAGGGTCTCCCTCCAGCTGGCCCTGCTGCCTGTTTGTAGGCTGAGGGGATGTGAACTCTCCAGAAAAGGAACTTTTCACAGGTCAGCTCCTGGCTGGAAAAGGGTCCGAAGATTCCCTGAGTGTCTGTTTCTCCGAGGTTGTCCGGTCAGGCACACTCTTGCCTTCTGGAAGGGGTGAGGCTCCCCAGGCGTCTCATGGCATGGCCCATGTCCTGTACAGCTAGGATGATGCGGGCTAGCCCCAAGCCCATGTTGGCTCTGTCCTCTGGCCTAGTCCCATTGAGTGGACCAAGAAAAGAGGCAGTGGCAGGTTTAAAAAAAAAAATACAAATTCTGCTTGAGCAGCCATGGGGGCTGAAAGTGATGGGAGCCATAATCTGGCCAATCTCAAGGGTGAGAGACCCCAGAGTGAGGAGGCATTTATTGAGGGTGCAAAGGAGACCCCCCCCTCCAAGTCTCGTACCAACGCATGTGATGGTCTTCTGCCAGCATTATTAGAAAGTGACTCCCGCCTCGGCGTCTTGAGCCAGCTTACTGGTGAATCATCGGGAAAAGAAAGGGTGCCAGGAGCTGCAGGTGCCCGCTGGGGTTGGTGGAACAGAGAGGGCGTTTCCCCCCACCCCCAACCCCCCCAGAAGCACAGCCGGCTCCATCTGGTTGCTGTGCAGCTTCTTTCCTTGCAAAGTTGGAATAGACGGTGCCATTTGCCTTTCCTCCTCGTAGGGAGGGGTTTGAGGGGCTAGGTGGGCACGGGCCATCCTGCCCCATGAGTAGGACCACCCTGGAGCACCAGTCTCTTCACTATGAAACTTCCTGATGCTACCTATTATGGCAGCATTTATTTAGCCAGTTCTGAGAAAAGAAGAAGAGAGAGATACACACACCCCCTGTGAGTTTTGGGGAGGGTCGCGTTGCTTTCTTTGCCCAGGAGCTGCATAAACACTCCAGGGGTAAATCCAGGTTCAGCCCATAATTGCAGAATCTCTCATTCCTTTTCAGTAATTGTAGCCTTGAGGGGGATCACTCTGTAGCTAAAGGTACAAAAACAGGGGCTTTCGAAAGTAATGAACAGAGGAGCTAACGTCCCATCCTGTCAAGATCGGGATGATTGCGAGGTTCTGGGGAACGCTAAATGCCACCTTCTCTTCATGAGGGCTCGCTTTCATCTCCCGGTTAGACTCCAGTAATAATAGGGTTCCGTTAATCAAAACAAACTTTGCATCATGGAACAAGGGGATGATGGATACATGCTGGAGAACAGCCGCTCTTTCCCGGACGCCTTCAGGTTTTACCAAATTACATAGGATAAATTCCATTTCAGCCAGAAGGGGAGGGTCAGAATCCATTGATTGGAAAGTTGGTTGCAATGGGTTGAGGGTGGAATCAGAATCGTGGCTGCTTTTTAATGGATTGATTGGTAGGTTGCCTGCCAAGGGAGCCCCGTGAGGTTCTCCTGGTCGTGCCTCGCTGAAAGGCACTGGAGTGGGGGAGAGGCGCTCTGGCACAGCTTCTGCCCTCTCCTGTCTCTAGGGCTTGGGCAGAAAAAGCAGTAGTAGTGGGGTCTTTGTGTCCTCTCCTGATTTCTTAAGATTTCACCTTGCATGCATGTCTATTAGGCTTATTAGGGTTGTTTTAATGCACCATGTGCTGCATCCGTGTGCATATAACTCTGGTTAATCCGATTCCTTGCCATGGGTGTGGGTGTCGGTGCAATTGAAAGAGGCTGAGGGAGTGTGCATCCTTGCAAAAGCAACAAAAATGCAAAATACACAAACATTTAAGGCCCACAATCATGTGTGTGTGTTGGGGAAAGGGGTGTTCTGGCAATAAATTCAGTTTTCCTTGCAATTTCTGTTGGCCCGGGGCAGTCATTCCCAAAGGGTGGGCTATTGTGGGAGAGCCGCTTGCACACCAGGAGAGATGGCATAAGTCACCCACCCTGAATGCCACCCTCAGAGAGCATCGCTTCCATGCCCACGTTTCCCTACCAAAGTAGGCTTAATTGGGTGAAAGGGTTTCTCTCTCATGCTCCTTACTGTGCCAGCTCCTCCTGCTGGTTGTGCTGGGTTCTCTAACTAATGGGGGGTGGGGAGAGATCCCAGGATCATTGGGTTGCAAAGCCAAGAACCCGGCTTGCCACGAGAAGCTCTCTGCCCGAGTTTGTCCGTAGCAAGCCGTCTTACCATGTCTCGCCTCGAAACCGCTGGTGCAGCAAACTCTGAATGCTCTCTCCAAGATCTCGAGCAGCAGAGAAGAGCGTCCTCCCATCTCTGCCACCTGAAATGCTCTTGTCTAGAATGGGCACTAGCCAAAGGAGCCGCTCCGCCACCCCCAAACAACGGCCCGTCCCCTAGATGGCTCATCCTTTACCGTGGCCGTCTTCCACTCAGCTCCTGCTGGAGAGCTGTGGGTCCCCTTTCCCCAGCAGGAGCTGCGCAGAAGGCCACCACCGTAAAGACTGCCGGAAACGTCATGGCCATTCCTTAGGCTGGCCCTTATGCCCGCCCTCACCTCAAATTCCGGAGGGCCCAAGGGGTGCCACCGGCATCTGACCCTTTTCAGAGGACAGCTGTCTGAGAGTGTCCTTCTGAGCTACAGGATGATTGAAAGATGGGAAGAACTTCTCTGTTGCCCGTTCTCCTGCTTTGGAAAACGTCCTGTACCGGAGCAGGCTCTCTCGTGTTGACGTAAGGGAAAACGGGAGTTTCATAAACTGTTGACCTAAGGAAGCCCGCCAGAGGCTGAGGCGCACACAGAGAGAGCTCTTTGCCTACCTGTTTATGCGCCTGACCCCATCCATCCCACGTGAAAGGATGGCCCAACCTTCAGGCTGCCTGTGACCAGCAACAGAATCACATGGCAAGGAAGGGAAAAACACAAGGCCTCCTTCTCGGGAGCCACCGAGGCAGAGGTGGCCAGATTCTGCAGGATGGTGGGAAGCTCCTGTGCCTTGTGGGCTGGTTAGACAATAAAGCCCATGTCAACGCTTGGCCTCCTCCACCACAGGCCACAGCTAAGGCCTTGACTGAGCTTCCATTCTGGATTTTTGTCCCGGCCCCTCCCTCTGAACCGTGCCATGCGCCTGGATTTCTCCACCTGGGGGTTTCTCATGACGCATCTGATCGGCAGAACGCACCACGCCCCTGTGGACCTCCATGGCGATCTTTCCAAAGGAGCCGGAAAGGGGGGACAAATTGATTGTATGGGTCATCTAGTCCCGGGGGGGGGAGAAGTTTAATGTATATTTTAGTTTTATTTTTGTTATTTGTAGTTTCCTTTTTATTATTTAATTTTAAAAAAAGAAGAAAGAGAGAAAGAAAGAAAGAAAGAAAGAAAGAAACAAAGAAAGAAAGAAAGAAAGAAAGAAAGAAAGAAAGAAAGAAAGAAAGAACGAGATGCTTCTGCAGCCACCAGTCACATTTGCAGCACCCTTTTGCCCCAGAGTCCCTCTCTCACACCAGTGGAACACCAGTGGCCGTGCAGGATTCCCGGTGAAAACCAGGGACCTGGAGTAGCCGCTTGTCAAGTCCTCCTCCGCCTGCCTGCCTCTCCGGAAGGCTGGGGCCCTCTCCTTGCCCATCCTGTGGGGGTGCCCGGCCTGCCACTGGCAAAGAAACCCCTGGCCTGCCCTGAAACGACCCACATGGTCTGGAGGGCAGGAGAAGGCGCTCTCCTGCAAAGAGAAGCCACGGGAGAGACAGGAGGAAGAGAAGGAGACGGACCTTCCTTCCGCCCCAGCCTCCCCCTACCCAAACCCATTCCATCTTCCCAGAGAGTGTGTTGGCTGGCCTGCCCGTTTTGATCAGGGCTTGGCTCTGTGGGACACTTGGGTTCATTCTTTCCACTTTTCCGTTGCGCCTTCTAGCAGAAGACCTCGCTGGAGAGGAAGACGAGATGCCGCCCTTCCGATTCAGGCCGAACGGTAAGAGCCGGCTGACTTTGCCCCTTTTATTCCAGGTTCTGGGGACAGGTCTCGGCTTCCCTTTGCAAAACCTCCAGCCTCCCTTCCGTTTGTGCCCAGCCCCACGGAGACCCACCCTCTGTCCCTCCACCTTCCCTTTCTCAACAGGCTGCGATCGGCCGGCCAGAGAGAGATTCCTGGCTATCCCGGCCCTTTGATGCTTTGCAACAGGAGGAGCATAGCAAAAGGAGCAGGGCTAAGGCCAGCCACAGGCACACTCTTTCTGGCGGTCCCCCGTAGTGGTGCCTCTAAGGGAGAATATCCGAAACGCAGGCAGCTGTGTTGACCTGCATCAAGAAATCAGGTCTGCCCCTTTTTGTCTCCAGCAGGAACTGATCTCTTGCAAAACTAAGGGGTCTCGATTGCCTAAGAAGCCCCCCCAAAAATAACACTGTATGACAAGAGAGGTAACCTTGGACAATAAAATGTTGCTGTGAAAATCTGTTTTGCCGGGGGCCCCCACACACAAACACACGCACACTACTAAGTCTTGTGTATACGCCCAGAGGAAACAGTCAAGGCTTAGGGAGGGAGGGGCTGTTAGTTTGCTTGTTATTTAGTTTGTTTGGGGCACAACATGGCTGGGCGACACACACCCCCTTGCCACACCACAGTCGCCCATCCTTTCTTCGCCTCCCTCCCTGCAGGCCGAATGAGGACCAACTGCAGCCAGTGCGAGAAGACCCTGACCCTCCAGACGTCCGTGAAGGTGCTCGGCGTCTTTGTCATCCTGCTGGTGGTGGCCGTGGTGGTCCTGGCGGCTTTGGGTGAGTGGGGTCAAGAGGTCATCCCTAAGAGGAGTCCTTTCCCGCGGTCATCCTGACTCCATCCCTGGATGGAGCCATGCCCTGATCTTCTGGAACCAGTGGCCGTGCTCACAGAGGTGTTCCAGGGCTCAACCGCCACGGTTCTGCCTGTGCCCCTCTGTTTGTGGCTTCACTGCTTTCCACGAAACGTTTTCAGCCGATTCTGCAAAATGGACCTCGCCTTATGGCCTCGGGTGAAGGCTTTCCCCAGAAAGCAACTTCCACTCTGAGGTCTGCTTCGCTTAAAAGCCTCCAGTAATGGAGAGTACTGACTTGACGGCACACACACACACACCCCCCACACACACACGTTTGTTTGTGCAGAAGTGCAGGAAGGAGGTGACTGGACTGGCTGAGGAACCAGAGAGGGTGTCTGGGCTGCAGCCCGCCATGACAACCTCGTTTAGAATCGCGACTTTCAAAATCAAAATGTGGTCCAACTTCTGGTAGGACAGGAATGAGAAGAAGTTATTTTATGAACAAGTAAGAGAAGAGGGTAGGCAGGAGGAGGAGAAAAAAAATCTAGTGCTAAACTGGTAAATTAATGCTAGGGAGAAAGTGAACTAGCGCTAATCTCATGTATTTAAAAAAAAAATTGTAAACTAAAGGCCCTGGCAGGAGAGGGAAGAACTTGGGTCAGGCATGGCCCAATCCTGAACTTCGTGTCCCAACAGCGAATGTCCCTGAAACACCACCCACAGACCCGCCCTCGCCCCAATCTTCCAAAAAACGAAAGAATTGATCCCACAGGGAAAAGTCCATTTGAATGGTTCCAGACTGGAAAAAGTAGAAGCCCCCAGAAACCGGGGGGGGGAGAGGGAGCGAGGGGCTGTGTTGGGAGCAAAAAAGGCCCTGAACACTTCGAACCGGCCTTTGCAACGGGTGATCAGAAAAACGGGACTCTTTGAATCGGCCCGTTTTATAACTGCAGCCCATCCTCCGACCACCTTCAGCCCCCCCCCCAGGGCGAGAGGCTCTTGTCTTTTTCCATGGGGTGCCAGCGGGGACTCCAAGAAGTGCGGATGGTTGAAAGGGGGTTCAGGGCGGCAGGCTTAGACTCTGGCCTCGTCCTGTCCGTCTTCTTCTGGGTCAAGTCTTTCCATCCCAAG